TCTTAACTTTTCCCAGCATCAGTTTCCCCATGAGCGAGATGGGCCAGATCACCCCTGGGGTGTGTTCTTCTCTTTTACAGTTCTATCCCGTAAGCCATGGAATCTGTCTCAAAATCCTGTGCACGCAGCAAGTTGGGGACGAAGGGTGTTTTTGAGGAGTGTATTTTATAGCACCAGAGTTTGCACTGAGTATTGTTCATACCAGCATAATCGTCTCATGACTCTGAGCCCCTGTTCTCCTCCTTGCCTGTTCAAATGAAATGGGATCAAGAAGGACTTCACAGAGTTTTTGTGAGAATTGCAGGAGGTCATACATGGGAAAGCACCTCGTTGAAATATTATGTTTGTCCTTGCCTTGGCCGGGTTATAACTTTTCCAGAAAGTGGAATATAATAAAAACACTCTTGGGCACTACACCCTATTTAAGATAATGTAATCTGTTTCCCAAGACTCAGAAGTCATTCGGGAAGTTACAAAATCTCGGGGTCCTCGTCATGAGCAGGGTAGTAAAAAGGTCCTGGCTGTTTATATTCTTTGGTTTTCAGGACTGAGATGAAGTGGGGCTGTGTTGACTATGTGGAATCCAGAAAAGAATAGAGATCCCATCGTCTAAGCCCCTCATTTTACAGAATGAAGTGGCTGAGCCCGGGAGAAGGTGCCCCAAATCACCTGCTAATGAAGGGCAACTCTGGTAATAAAGTCCAGGTTCCTTCCTGACTCCTAGCACACTTTTCATTGTTAGTTGAAACATAGCTGAGAGACCTTGCAGTGAGGCTAACAATGTGCTCATGCAAGCAGCTGCCCCTTTGAACGGGGACTTGAAGAAATATTAGAGGCAAATGTAGGGCCTTACAGGGTATGACACCACGAACTTCACTCAACCCACTTGGAAGAAAAAAAATTCTTAGAAATTTTCTTAACAACAGCAGTTCATTTCTTCTGTATCAAATGCTTCTCAGATATGCTCTGAAATGAATTGACATTAAGAACGCAGGTCTTGGGAGCACCTGGGTGGCTCAGTCAGTTGAACACCTGACTTTGGCTCAGGTCACGATCTCACGGTCTGTGAGTTCAAGCCCCACATCAGGCTCGCCGCTGCCAGCGCAGAGCCCTCTTCAGATCCTCTGTCCCCCTCTCTCTCTCTGCCCCGTCCCTGCTCACACTCCCTCTCTCAAAATAAACACAACGTTTTTTTAATGCAGATCTTAGTAGGCTTATTATGTGCACAGGGAGTAGTAGAACATAGGCGTAGAAAAATGGTCTCTCTCTTCCTTGTACTAATCGTTAACGGCTCTGTTATTCAGTTTTGGGGAATTAAAGTTGCGAGAGAGAACTGTAAGGCCAGTTCTGTGTTAGATGTTCTCTCCCATGCAGCTTCTGTTACATTAGCAGCTGTGAGCCATGTGACATCTCAAGACCAGTGCAGTGAGTGCCCACGGGCGAGTACCCAGTGAGGGCGGCACTTTATTCCTGGATGTGTTCAAAGCGGAGTGCCACCTACACCTCCCTCCTCTTCCCATTTATAAATCTACTTCTCCAAGGATATACAGATTTTTGGCTCTATTTTTAGGCTGTTGATAACTCGAGAAAGCCTCCAACGATCAAAGTCTTGGATGAGGAGGATTCAATTCACGCAGTCTTTTCTGCATCCCCGATAGATGCTGAAAAGCAATGTGAATGCTGACGCTGGGTGGGAAGTCCGTGCGTAGGTATAGTGTAATGGATAGGAACACACACTCTGAAGCCAGACTCCCTGGGTTCAAATCTCAGCGCCTCTTGTTTCCATGGCTGTATGACCTTGGCCACATCCCGTAAGTGCACGGAGCCCAAGTTCCCCAATCTGGACCTCTATCTCACGGTGTTGCTGTGAGCATTCAGTTAAACAAACTAATATTTACAAAGTGCTTACAATAGTGCGAGATGATAGACGCGCTTGATAAGTGACTGTTAATTAAATTAAATGGTCCTAATTAGACAGAGTTGCCTCTGGGTCCAAGGCTCTATTCCATTTAGACACTGTAACTCCCAGGCTGTAGGGCTGTGAGGTTCAAGGCAAGGGGGCTTCTTTTTCCCGGTTATTCTAGAGAGTTAAAAAGGAAATAGCAGTAGGACTTGACTTGGAGCGCCAAAGTTTATCAAGCCTCTTTCCAGCTTGGTGAAATGTGTCCCTCTTCTCTTGACCCTGTCTCTGATGCGTTTACTTGGTGGCCTCCAGCGGGTAGCTTGGTCTGTCAGGGTCAGGGGCACTTTTGTAAAACCGCTAGGATTGCCTGGCAACTCCCTGGACTGACAGTGACCTGATGGGTCCCTTTTGCACACAGCCCAGAGCCTTCATGTTGGTTCCCTGCGCGAGGGGGTTTCCGCGTCAACTCTGCTCGCTTCAGGGACCGGGCTGTGGGAGAGATTAATGGGAAGTGAAAAGAGAAACTATTGCCTTCACCAGCAGGGCTGTTTGGAGTATGCGACTCTTCTTGTATTTAGGGAAAAGATTACTCATGAGTATTTTCTTCCATAGAATATAAAGAACCTCAAATTACTACTTGTGCCCCCTCACCCCCATTCCCCCACCTCCCTCCGGTTCAGTGAATCCTCTGCAGAAACTTCAGCATTTCACTCTCATTTCCCCTCCCGAGTGGGATTCGGTTCTGTATTTGCTTTGGCGCTCACACTTCCAACAAGCTACCCCGTCGTTTTTCCTGTTTCTGACTGAGTATCTTCTGCTCTGTGGCCCACCTACCACCAGGCTCCTTCCTAGGCCAAGCTTGACTGGAACCTCATATTTGCAACCCCTCCCCCCCACCGCCCCCGGCTCTGGCTGTACCCGTGCTGCTCGTGTGAAGGAGAGGAAGGGAAAAATTCCCAGTAACAGATGACTAATCACTGTGCTGTTTCTGTTCAGAGGTGACACCCTGACAATAGGAAGTAAACGTTAAGGTTTTTTTTTACCGGTTCAAAAGTTAAGAGTTTACTGAGCCACCTTCACGCCCACCGCCATTTCATTGTGATTCCTGATGTGTATGTTGTCAAGGTCATTGGAAAGACTGGGGGCACCTTCCGTATCTTAAGGACTGCTTTTAATAGGCCTTACTTCTGGGCACAGTTAAGAGCCAAAAACAAAATCTTGAATTCTTCAGTGGCTGTGTTTTCTTCTCAGGATCGTGGACCAGTAGCCTGCTACATGTTATTATTTCGTGACACCACTTTCTTTTCCCATGGAAAATGATAAAACTTAAAAAGGGAAGAAAGCTCTTGAATGCCCATCTCTAATTATGCCAGTGCCCGTAGTTCTTTGTTGGTGTTGTACCCGATAGACTACTTGAGAAAGGACTTCCTCAGAGTTCAAGGAATGGCCAGCTACCATTCTTCAAAACTAGACTTTGCAAAGGAGCCACCTGGAAGACAGAGCCAGTAGTCATGCCCAGAGGCCGTAGACCTTCTCCAGGGGAACTGAGCTGTTGGTTCCCTGGTTCACTAGGGAGGAGAGGCAGCGTCTCCAGATAGACCAGACAGTTCTTTGTTATGCTTGACTTAAGGATGAAAAGGTGGCTCCTTCCGGGATCAAACTGAAGGGCACGTTTATAGCATACTCATGGAGTCTTCTTAGGAAGTTTAAGTTAACTTCCTGGAGAGACCGAAGCTCTTCTTAGCAAACCCGGATGCCATTGTATTTGAACCGTTAATTCATACAATGCAGTTTTGGAGAATGAAATGCCGTTGGGCGTGCCGTTCCTTCCAACCCATCAGTTCTCATTTTGGTCTCAGGACTGCTTTCAATTTTTTAAGAATTATTGAAGACCCAAAGAGCTTCACTCATAGGGATTCTATCTATATTTACCATACTGGAAACTAAAACTGAGAATTTCAAAAAAGCTTACTGAAAAGTAATAAGCTAAACTTACATTAGCATAAGTAGATATTTATGAATATATCTTCCAAAAGGCAGTGAGAGAAGTGGCATTGTTTTACATTTTTGCAAGTCTCTAATGTCTGGCTTCATAGAAGATGGCTGGATTCTCATGTCTGCTGCAATATCACATGTTGTATAGCTTCTAGAAAGTCCCACTGTATCTTCATGAATGAATGAGAGTGAAAGAAGGTAGATAACCTCTCAATATTGTTATAAAAAGAGGTTTGACCTCACAGACACCCTGAAAAGTTCTTGGGAACCTTGTGGGGGTCCCCAGTTCACACTTTGAGAACCACTGTTCTAAACCACTTGGATGATATAGCAAAGATTTCCCACAATAGCAGTGTAAAATTAAAAGATACACTCAGAGTCAGACTTCCAGAAAAACCCAGCCCAAGCTACCCTCTCCACCTCAGCTGCAACCCTCTCTTTGGCCCACTGCTGGTCCTGCCAGAGCCCAAATACCACCCCTGGCAGGAAATTCTAACATTGAAAAGTAGAATGAAGAGTCAAAAGACCTTTTACCCTTACTTTCCCCTCTCATTCCCAGAGGCTAGCCTGATAGTTTCCCAGAGGCTGAGTGAATTGCTCTTCCTGGAAGAAGATTCAGGGAATACTTCATTATTTGGCAGCTCTCAAAGGTCAGGCCTGACTCTGGAATGTTCTCACTTAAAAAGGACTCTGGGTGGCAATCAGATCAGCTCTGATTCTAAGGTCCCCTCTGAAGCACGTTGACATTTGTCATGACTCCGAGTTCCTTGGGTGTTTCAGGCCACCATTGGGCTTTGGGCATGCTTTGAACCAAGGCAGCCCCTAGAGCTGGGCAGGGAAGGGCGGGTCACTAAGACCCAGGGTCCATTAAAGACTAAAAAAGGATTTTTCTTCTCACGTTGCCTCTGAATAAATAGTTCATCTGATACCACACTTCAGCGCTTATAAATCTGGAGCTTTACCTTGGGATTCAGAGATGAACCTAAGGACTCTTCAAACATGGAAACTCGATTGTATTAACCAGAAAGCTTTTACCTTTATTCCAACAGTCTAACTGACAAGACCCTTTCTCTCTCTTTCTGCCTTGCTCTCTCTCCAACAGGCTTGCAGCCAATTTACTGGAGCAGGGATGACGTAGCCCAGTGGCTCAAGTGGGCTGAAAATGAATTTTCTTTAAGACCAATTGACAGCAACACGTTTGAAATGAACGGCAAAGCGCTCCTGCTGCTGACCAAAGAGGACTTTCGCTATCGATCTCCTCATTCAGGTGAGAGTTTGGACTCCTAACACGTGGTCAGCTTGGAAAATCTGTTAGCCTTTGCTTGGTCCTTGACACCGCCCATCACGCCCAAGAAACCCCCGCAATAGGCCACCGCGAGCACAAGGACCATGACCTAGCTTCATAGAGGAAAGATTTGGCTGACATAAGTCCACTGGAGGGGGAAAGAAGAAGAATTTCCAGATCAGGGAGAAACTTGGAAGGTCAGGAGAGGGACCCCAGACGCTTGGAGCATAAGGGATCTACTGTGCCCCCAAATCAAGGACAAAATGCATTCCAACCCTTTCACTTCTGCCTTGCTCCTGATTCTGGAGTCTTCTGAAAGTGATGCCTGGGAGTGAGTGTAGGTGGTGAACTGCTCAGTTAAAACCAAAGACAGAAGAGGAAGGGGCCTGACCCTGGCTCAGGCAGACGGAGTGGAAGGGGAAGAAGACATGAGGGAAACAGAAGATAACGATGGGAAGAGGTGGAGACCCTAGGAGTCAAGGCAAGTTTAGAAATAAAGGGCTCTTGCAGGGCACCTGGGTGGCTCAGTCGATTAAGCATCCAACTTTGGCTCAGGTCACAATCTCACGGTTTGGGGGTTTGAGCCCCGTGTCGGGCTCTGTGCTGACAGCCAGCTCAGAGCTTGTTTCCTGTTTCGGTTTCTGTGTCTCCCTCTCTCTCTGACCGTCCCCTGCTCATGCTGCCTCTCTCTCTCTGAAATAAATAAAAACCATTTAAAAAAATAGAAATAAAGGGCTTTGGGTGATTTCCTTTGGAAGTACTGAATTTTTTTTTAAATTTATTTCTTTATCTTGAAAGGGAGACAGAGAGCACACGAGCACAAGCAGGGGAGGGGCAGAGAGAGAGAGAAAGAGAATCTCAAGCAGACTCTACCCTGTCAGCTCAGAGCCCAATGGGATCCGTGGGATCTGTGGGATCATGACCTGAGCTGAAATCAAGAGTCGGATGCTTAACCGACTGAGCCGCCTGGGTGCCCCCGAAGTACGGAATTTTTCGAAGTATCACATCTTGTAGCTTATAGGAATCCTGAAAAAGGCAGTGGCAGGTTTCCCAGGCTCCTCGAACTAGGCAGTTCAGTCACCATGAAACCACATGGGAAGATCTGATTCCGTAAAGAGTGAATGTACCTGCGAAATGTATTGCTGACATAGGTGTAAGACTTCAAATGTGCTCTCTAATTTCGTTTCTTAAACTGTATGGATATTTAGGAGATAGTTCTTTGGGAACTCCGTATGTGAAATGGGCAACTCTGGTCTTGGGTTTATGCCTCTTGAGGGGCTAAGTTGTTCAGGGCCCAATAGGCCCTCCTTCTCCGAGCCCCATCGTGGCCGACTTTGATGTAACCTGTCTCGCAGAGACTCTCTTTGTCTTGACAAAGGGAAGAGACCCTGCACAAGGTCTTGGCACAGTTCCAGCGATGTTCAACCCTTATGTGCTCCTGGAGGCCTGCCAGGAGTTAATAAACTAACTGTCGTGAGGAAACATCCCCATCACAGAGGGTGAGGTAAGGATATAGGACAGTATCTCCCCCGCTTTTCCCAATCGCTGCAAACCGTTTATATGAGGAAATGATAAAGGGAAGTTTCCCCTAGAAGTATAGCAGTTATTGAAACTTGAAAGTTCCTGTCTCTGAAAAACAGATCATTGTTAACATTTTATGAAGGAATGGAGCCAGACATAACCTGAAACATTTGTCTCAAATCATTGATTCTTTCTGTAGTCTCAGGATAAGAAAACTAAAACAACTATAAAAATAAATAAAGCTAACCCAGAAGGAAACTAAATAGTCCCTTTTTTTAAAATGTTTATTTATTTTTGAGAGAGAGAGACAAAGCGTGAGCAGGGGAGGAATGGGGGGGTGGGGGGGGACACAGAATCCGAAGGAGGCTCCAGGCTCTGAGCTGTCAGTACAGAGCCCGATGCAGGGCTTGAACTCATGGACTGTGAGATCATGACCCGAGCCAAAGTCAGACGCCCAATTGAGTGAGCCACCCAGGCGTCCCTAAATAGTCCCTTTTAGTGCAAAAATACTTAACTTTTCTGTTCTAGGGGAAACTCAAAGGTGTACTCAAAGGAGCAAAGCTACCTCTCTGGAGGAAAAGAACTCTTAGCTCTTTAATGTGTTCCAGAAAAACCACTCATGTCAGGCAAACAAGGGAGAACTCAGTGATGTGTTTTGACTGGATTTGACTTAGTGCTTAGCCAGGCTTTCCTCCCTGGGTCCATAATTCCCCGCCTCCACCCCCACCCCCACCCACCGTATATCAGGTACTCCTTTTTGTTGCTGATTTCTTTTTCTCCGTAGAGACCTCTCTCCACTTTACTTAGAAGGTAGGTCTTCTCTGCTCAAAGCCGGGAGCCAAGATAGGCAAAAGCCTACCAGTAATCACTTGCCATTTTGTCAGGTCTTTGCCAGAGTGGGCTACGCGGAATGTGGACAGGATCCCGCTGTCCTATTAGATAGGATTGCATTGACCCTAAAGGCAAAAGGAAACTTGAGAAAGGAAAGGGCAGAGTAGGCTGGGGCTTAGGAGAGAAGGAATGGAGCTGATCTGGGACACGAAGGATGGGTGGAACAGAGAAGGTGGGGAAGAACATTCCAGATAACTGACCCAGCATTAGCTTAATGTATTTAGAAGACGGTGAAATAGCCCATCTGATGGATGGAAGAGGCCGGAGATGGGAGACCAAATGACGCCAGTCCACTAGCTGGACATGAGGGGCTTTGACCCCAGTTAGGTGGTAGTAGAAACCCATACCATGTGTATTCACTGAGCAACTCCATACTAGAGTTACAGAAGTACAGGCTAAGGAGGTTCAGGGATTGCAGAGGCAGTTTCTGGCTGGATTGTCCAGTGGAGCTCAAGGGGATGGTAATGGAGCCAGAACTTGGAAAGCTTGGAAAGGTACCGAAGGCGGAGGTAAGGACAGGTGTTAAGGAGGAGCTGTAGGCCAGTTCGTGTGCAGATGGAATTCAGACATAAGGCCATGCAAATTCCATCCTCTGTCTGAAACACCCTTCCCTCACCTGTCTGAATGCCTTTTCGTATTTGAAGTTCTGACTTTCTCCAGGAAAGCTCTCCCCGGTTCACATCCCTGCCTGTCTGATCGTGTGCTGCCTTCCTTTCCTCCACCTCTTCCCACCTCAGTCTGGGCTCGGTGCTATTCCTCTTATATCACAGAGCATCCCCTAATTCTGTCGTGGCTCCCGACACACACACACACACACACACACACACACACACACACACACACCATGTTATATACGATTGCTTTCTGTTTTGCATCCCTCCCCTGGAGGAGGAAGTTCATTTGGGTAAGGGTTGTGTCTTGTTAAGCTGACTTGTCCGCAGCATTTAGCACAATGCGTGGCATCCAGTTGGCACTCAACATTGATTGAATGATGGCCCAACACATGAGTCCCTTAAAGCCTCCGTTAAGAAGTTCGAATTTTATTTGTCAGGGAGTGGAAAGCCACTGACGGGTTTTGATCAGGAGAATAATAAAATTGGAGCTCTCCCTCCGGAGCAGACCTTGGCTGTCAGTGCATAGGGTAGACTCATTTGGTCACTAAAAAGAGGAAAACTAGGGGTGCCTGAGTGGCTCAGTCAGTTAAGCATCTGACATCGGCTCAGGTCATGATCTCATGGTTCATGGGTTCGAGCCCCACATCAGGCTCTGTGCTGACAGCTCAGAGCCTGCAGCCTGCTCCGGATTCTTTGTTTCTCTCTCTCTGTCCCTCCCTCACTTGTGCTCTCTCTCTCTCCCTCTCTCTCTCTTTCTCAAAAATAAACATAACATTTTAAAAAAAAAGGGGAGAACTAATTAGGATGCTATTGCTACAGTCCTAATTGGAGACACTGAAATCCAGAACTCGATTGATGAGAGTAAAATAATAGTGCTTCAGGCACAGAATGGTTGGCTCAGCCAGGGAGCTCATTTGCAGGAAGTGGTAAGATTCAGTTTGGCCCGGCATTGCCACACTATCCAAAAAGACATGTCCCATTCTGCCCCCTGGAAGTCTGAGACCAGAGCCAGGCCAGAGCTGGGAATAGTAGATGTGAACATTCATCCCCATTATGTTGAGCTGGGAAGAGAGAAATACATGCTGCAGGTAATTTAATTAAGGCATCGACCAGAAAGCCGTGTACAGAATTTCAAGGTGATTCCTGCCATTTGGGGCTGCCGGAAGACTTATCACAAAAAGAGGGGAATTGTCAGAGGCTTTGGAAACGAGACACAAATGAGTTAAGGAGACATTCTCATGGAGTGGCCACACAGCAGGGTAATGAAGGCATGATCTTCCTGCTCGGATTCTCCTCGGAGAGGGGACAGTGTTTAAATAGGAGACATCCTTTAGTTCTCACATGTAACATCTGCCACTGCTTCTCCTGACATGGGCTTTCTGGTGTCGCGTTTGATATAGTAGATGCCTAGTGGCCCAAGTTCTATACGTGGCATGTCCACAGGTCACAGTACTTCATTGGCCCCTGTTTTCCTCATCTGTAAAATGGGATTTTTACCATATGGATCTAAAGCGCCCTTCGACTCTTAACAATTCGGCCCAACCATGAAACAGTATTAAGCTTCTGTTACGTAGTACAACCTCCTACCTTACAGGCAATGAATAGATACTTTGGTGCCCTTTGACCTATATGCCTTATAAAACTTAGACTTGACTCAATTTTTTTCTGTCTTTCTTTGAATGTTTTCTGCTATCTCAGATGAATCGGCAGTGACTTCTCTGTAGTCATGGGGCCACTGGAATAAAGCAAAAATCTGATTGCCCCGTCACCGTGAATTGGATGTTTACAGCTTCCTCCCAGCCTAGTTTCCTGCCCGGCCACACCCAGAATTATGTTATCTGTATATGGACAAAACATTCCTCAACACACCTCATTTCAAATACATTTTGAGAGGAGGAAACGGTATCCGGTGAATTTTAATTACCTGAAATATTAATATATCTTAGGCCCGAATAT